TGTGTGCCATCTCAAATTATTTGAAATGTTATATGCAGTATAATTACATTTACATAATCATTTAGCAAATCAAGCCCAATAATGCCTACATTTTCTCAGCATCATGGGCAGATTACCAAGTCTTTTCCTTCCTTCACTAAAATAATTTTTAAGCTTCTTCCTTCTTTTAAACGTGCACCACTTATTCCCACAGTGTTTGGAGACCAAATCAAGTGTTTTGAACTACAAAAATACATAATATTACACAAATACATGTTCTTCTATCAGCCCAGAGCTTTTTTCTTTCTTTATTCCCCCCAGGTCTTGCTCACTTCTGGCAGTTCTCCATCTATCAAATGCACAGGAATGCAAAACAATGTTAACACATCAGTGTCAGCCTCCCTCCAATCTCCAGAGTGTGTTTAACCATCAGCATTCCTGGTGCAGCCTCACATTTCTGTAAAGCTGAGCTGATATTTCATGTAAATTTGCAGATTTTAGTCACCTACATTCAGCATCAGTTTTCCTTTTCTTAGTTGCAGGGCATTTTCTTCTTAAAAAAAATTTTAACACTTATGGTGTAGCTTGTGTTATAAAACATTTCAAAGAAATATTTTTTAAGAATTTGACCCAATTTCCACCATCTTGCTTTTCAGCTTTAAACAGCAAAATACAGAAGCCCAAATTGCTTTGCAAATCCTTATCTAGATCGGATACACCAGGTATCCACCAAGGAAGGAACTAAGATCAATTAACTGAAGGTCATTCTCATCTAATTTTGTATGTGTGCATCCAAGTATATATTTAGATACAATTCCCAGATCTTCATTTTCATATGAAGTCAACCCAAATTTAAAAAAAAAGGAAGCAATGAACCAATTCAAGTGCTACCAAAACAAACTACTACACACCAACAACAGTTCAAAATACACATTGGTTATTCCCAGCCTGGAAAAGAAGCAATGCTGGAAGGTGAAGAAAGCTGGATGAAAAACAAAACCAGAGAGCTTTTGGTTTATAAACACAGTGTTTCAACACCAACTTTTCTGTTTATGCTCCCCACACTGTTACACTTGTCTCTTGGCATATGCTCCATCTGGCTGGGGAGATGCATCTGCTTCTTCCTGCTGCAGGCTCTCCACGTGCAGCTGAGCTCTCCGTGCTCACTCGGAGCCAGGAGCCAACAATCCCATCTCTGATCCCTGAGATGTTCCTGACTACAGAACGTGCACTGCTCCTCTAACAGCTCTATTAACATTTTGTGAAAAGCCAGAGATGAAATGTATTTTAATGTAAGAAAACAGCTGATTACAGCAGAAGATTAAACTGGCTTGTTGACCCTGCTGAAAGCAGCAGCAGGGTCATTTACCTGCTTTGTCTGAACTATGACAAAACCACTCTTACATCAAGCCATCACAAATGTTACTCCTCATTACAGTCACCAATTCCCATGGTAAGATATTTAATACAAATAGCCAAATCACTTGCTGGAATTTACACCAGAGCAGTCCTTCCACAAGAATGAGTATGATTGTAATAATTACATGCCATAGTTTAAGAGAGATTTTTTTTGTACTTTCTAGTTAGAATTTTTATTACAGATCATTACCTATTTCAAGGACAGCTGTCAATATCTGGGATATAACCTAAGCCTTATTCAGCACGTTACACTACACTGAAAACAGCATTAAACTACAGAGCACAGGAGAGGCTCATTAACTGACACCCACCCGGAATTCTCCTGGGCACAGATGCCAACTGGGAAAGTAGGTCACATTTTACACAGGCTCCTAAAAATCAAATCACCTCAGTCTGATGAGGTGAGATGAGGAACAAGGAAAACCTACCATGGCCTAGTGTAGGTGAAATAAACCCTGGTTTACTGTATCAGTCAAGGAAAATGAAAACATAGAAAAAAATAAAAAGCTGAGCTAAATAGGGAGGAAGAGCCATCTTCAGCCCTTGACTCCCAGGAGAAGTGAGGCTGGGAGGGAGGCAACAACTGTGCAACTGCTGCTTTCTGAGGCCTTCTTGAGGGGCAGAAGGATCCAAAATGGAAGTGATATCTTATTGTAAATAACCTGCAATAATCTTAACATCCTGCACTAAAGAAAATATACAAGTGCCTGTTCATCTCCCTCTTTTCCTTTGGATTTAAAAACAATGAATGGTCAAGGTCTCAAATTGTCTTCTATAAATTAAAACATTTTGTTGACCATATGGATACAGAATCCTGATAAAAACTGAAATTCCTCCCATTTTATTCTGCAGAAATACTTCTTTCTTCAGGAAAAATAATTACTTGTCAAGAATAATCTGTTACAGAAAAAAAGTCCATGAACATTAAAGCATCAAATGCTTTAACACCTACAGCAAGTCCTTCAAATCATAGACAGCACTTCAGTGTAACAATCTGCAACTGTGCCATTATGGGTTTGTAAAACTAAATACATGATCCCAGTATTTCAATAATTCAAAGCACACATTAAATAAAAATTTCACTCTTTTCAATACCTCTATATGGCCCACCTATGCTGTGTAAGAGCATTACCTCACACTCCAGTAACCTCATAAAAGAGCAGGTATAGGACAGCAATAGATCATTCCCATCTACAATGGGGAATTTTTTCATGTTCAGTCAAAGACCTAAGTGCATGCATCAAAAAAAATTTCTAATAATAATTTAAGATGCCAGCGCTCTCCCTCCCACTATGTTTTCACAAACATTCCAGCAGCAACAGAAGACACCAAGCTCTGAGCATATGAAAGCAATTCCTATGCCAAAACCGAGCAGGAGACAACTACAAGGGGAAGATGTCTCATCCATTTCATTTAATCATTTACAACATTGCCATCTACCCAGTGCTGGAAATAAGCAGTAGCAGATTTGTTTCCTCCCTTACCCAGCTCTGAGCTGTATGGAATCACCTTTCCTTCCAGCCCAGGAAAACCCACCCTCCTATCAGGACCTATCAGGACCACAGTGGGTCCAGAATAGTTCCACGGTCAGCCTATGTCACAATAAATGCCATTTGTCACATTCAAGGAGGTAAGTGAATTACTAAACTAAGATCTATATATACATCAGCTATAACTCCATAAAATGGAACTACTTATCATAATTCAGTTTAGTATGAATTTGATAGATTTTAGGTGCTTTTCTGCAGTAATTTTCATTTGTTAAAATAGAATTTCAATGTCATTACAATAAAGAGAAGCCATTTTACATTGCTCTTTCAGCCTGTTTCCAAAATGCTGGTGATGTCACTAAACATCTATCACACTGCAAGCACCCATCAATCCAGAAAGAAAAAACCTGAAAATATTTCACAACCAGGCTAAAGAGCACACTGGGCTAGTCTGAAGAGATAGGAGGATACATTCCTAAATTACACTGTATTTGAATAATAGGAATGAAGTCCTAAATTCCATACTAGCATAAAACATTAAACCCAGAGAAGAAAATTGGAAAGAATCTGCAGATGAGTCCTTGCATGTTCCCCCAGAGCACATCTGCCCTTGGATGCTAAGTGCACTTTTAATGTATTTGTCAGGGGGTCAAACACTTGACCCTGGTAAAATAAAAAAAAAAAAAAAACACCAACAAGAACCCAAAAAAGCAGCCTTGCACAGAATTATTCTGGAAGAGGTCCCTAGTCCTTGTGATGTGAAGAAGCACCATTACCATGAGTCACAACACAAAGAGCCCTG